TATTTAGATTATTATTATTAAGATAACCTATTCTTTGCCTGAGAGAAAAGTTTCCTTTTCATTTGTCTTCCTGTGGGGGGCATTACGTGTAATGGTGTACAGTCTGCCGGAAATCTATTAGAAGAAGAAGAAGCCACGCACGCAGTGTACGCATGCTCGTCATAAGCGGAACTGCTCAGTGTAGCAGGGAATTGGCTTAGTTAAATAGTGCACTATCGGACACAAAGATGGACCGTCAACCTTAACTGCGGTGAACGATTTCATTGGACTGGACGGTGTAGAAGAAGAGCGTGCTTGTAACGTTACAGTAGCTCATAAAGAATCCTACACAATGGTAGGTTTCTGCGTCTCATTGGCTTTAAAAAAAAAATGCAGGTGGCAGCGCTAAGCTAATGATAGCAAGGTGTATGATTTCAGGAAGTGTTCACCTGCGCTACGTTTACCTAGTTCCTCTCAGCATAGCCTGTAAGCCTAAAGGCCGTAACGTTATTAAAGCATAAAATTTATGCTGGCTGTAGGGCATTTAATCAGCACATGGCCCGTTTATATCACCGTGGTGTAGACAGTTTGACGTTGGATATTCAGGCATTGAGCGAGGCTAATTCTCAATAACTTTCAAAAGACTTTATCGATCGTTGACAGATTTGCTGTGCATTACAGAAGAAACCTTGCTCGATGTTGCACAAGTGGCATTTCATACCAGTGACCCAGTGTTTAACCGTAGTTGCTTTGTAAACCTGGGCGAATGACAGACCACAGGGGAAATGACTAACCGTAGTTAGGGACCGTCTCTAAATTGCTTATAGTGTGGCTAAAACGGCGGTGGTGTGTCTCCTTTTCGACAAACCTTCCACATTTTATTCTCTGTATATTTTAAACAAACTTCTTATCCATCCGAGATGCCACAATTCTATGCACATGCATTTTCCTTTGATTCATGCAGTATGAGCATATAAGGTATTACACCTTGTTTTCTTCTAATAGCTTCTTCATCGTTCACCTTAAACACTTCAAACCAGTTCTAGTGAGGACATCGTCTCACTATATGCACAACCTTTGCTTGTTGGAAACGTACACTGATCAGGCATAACGTTATGACCACTGGCAGTTGAAGTGAATAACACTGACTATCTGTTACAGTGCCACCTGTCAGTGTGTGGGGTATAATAGGCAGCAAGTGAACATTCAGTCCTCAAAGTTGATGTGTTGGAAGCAGGAAAAATGGGCAAGTGTAAGGATCTGAGTGACTTTGACAAGGATCAAACTGTGATGGTGAGATGACTGGGTCAGATCATCTCCCACACTGCAGGTCTTGGTGGGTGTTCTTGGTCTGCAGTGGTTAGTACCTACCAACAGTGTCTAAGGAAGGACAAATGGTGAACTGGTGACAGGGTCATGGACGTCCACGGCTCAATGATGATGAGGTTGCCCTACTGTAGGTTAATCTTTTGAAACTTCCATTTGTACTTTTCAAAAGATTAAAATCTATTTGAATCTTTGTTAAAATTGTAAAAAATGAGAAATACTGTACATTGGTCTCTATGAAGAAAAAGAGTCAGGGGCTATGGTGGTGATATCACACCTAGAGTGGTGAGGCTGTTGAATTTGTCTAAAAAAATTCTCTCTAACTTGTCCTCACGACCACAGTTTCCACTCCTTTTACATAAGTTTTTCACTGAATTGTAGACACATCTGTGCTCTCCCTGACAGTATAACTGTGGAAGGAAATTGATTCACAGAAGATACACAGTGAGCTGCAGAGTGACACGAGTGCCAACCAACTGTCACGTTGACTCCTATGTAAATAGTATTCGGCAGGTAGTCATAATGTTGTGCCTGATGGGTGTATTTAACAGTATGATCATATGTTATCAGAATCAGTTTTATTGGCCAGGTGTGATGGACACACGAGGAATTTGACTCAGGTATATCGGCTCTCAATGTGCAAACAGTAAACCAGCATAAGGCTATGTAATATAACAAAAAGGGATTTACTTGCAGATATTCCATATAATCAGTACCAAGTGTAAAGTGAATGTTTGTATAATTAAGTTGGCCTAACTGCTCAGTAAAAGCTGACTGCCTCATACATCACTGGGTTATCTTGGGGGTGGGGGTGCCTACAATGACGTATAACATATCCCTTAGATTTATTTAGTCTTTGCAACTGTCCTTCCGTATTGGCTTATTGTGTCTTCTACTACATTGACTACAGACCAGTATATCGGTGCCAAAGTAATAAATATACTGGAAAATACAGCTGAGTTAGGATTATAGTATATTTGATTTGAATGGTACACAACACAGCCAGACGAATGTGGTCATATACTGCAAGTATATGCACACCGTACTTTTCCTTGTCCCTGTATGTGGCCACTCCACATATACTGTATGAATATTACTTTGCTGTAGGGCAGAGCAGATAATCTTTTCAAATCTATATTGCAGTTTAACAAATCACAATTTTCAAGCAAAGCTTTGATTTTAAACTGTAATTAAAACATTGTTAAAAATGCTACAGATTCAAAACAGTCAGATGTTACAGTCACACACACTGCCCTCTGCAGGTTTCATGCGACACTGACAGATGGCACATTATGCAGTAGGCACATAGTTGCCCCTAAGATTTGCCCTTGCTGTGTAAAGTTACAGATGTCAGTGCCTACTGTAACTGCATTTAATTTACAGCATTATTCTGAAATTCCTTTAAATATTGTGCATCCAAGATGTAGTTCAGTTTAGTTTTAATATGATTAATTATAAAATAATCAAATAAGGGAAGCACTTTGAAGCATTTTACAGGCTACTGTACAGAGTGATCGCTGGTTACTAACCAGCCAAGCCAAAGGAGCAGTGGGGCGGGGGGTCCTGTGGAAGTAGATCGCTACCCTAATGTTTTTAAGCACTAGTGAGTTTGCAGCTCAGCATTTGAGAGTGCATAGATAGACAGTGGTTTGTAGATGCAAATACAGTTTTGAGAGTGTAATCTAGGCCATGCATGCTCTCATTTCTGATTTCTCCACTGGGCTTTGTATGAACGTCTGTCAACACCAAAAGTTTTGGAAGTGTAGTTTTTATGAATAGTCCAAAAGGCCGCCCACCACGAGCCAGAGTCTGTTGGAGGTTTCTTCCGTTAAAGGGAGTTTTTCCCTCCCCGCTGTCACCAAGGGCTTGCTCAAGGGGAATTTGTTGAGTTTTTCCTCTATAATAATACTAATGATAATAATAGTAAGGTCTACCCCTTACTTTGTAAAGTGTCCTGAGATGACTTTTGTTGTGATTTGGTACTATACACATAAAATTGAAATTGAGAAAATGGATGGTTACAGCAGAGAGAAAACTGCATTTGATCTTAAAGATAGCATAACTGTTAGTTTACTGTATATAATTATAATATACTGTAGCTACCCCAACAGAGGTTTAAGGCATTGTACCACTGAATGCTTTTTTTTTCTTCTTAAGAACACTCAGACACACATATATTTTAACACAACTCCGCATAGGAGAAAGGTTTAAAGGCTGTGTACCAGTGCTTCTGGAGTTTGCTTCAGATGGACTAGTGTAAAATGTCTTTTTTTCCTGATGCAAAACGCAAAGGCAGTGTACTGTAAATGTGATGTTCCTGTGTAAGAGTGTTGCACTAGTGTGACATTCCTAAGATGTAGCCCATTAAAATACAATGCAGTGCATTTTTTCATCATTCGTACGTAGATTGTTTTATATTGTTAATATAAATAAACGTGAATCCACTGTGTTGAAATTTTTAACTCCCCATAACGCTAAATCAATGGGAGCCCTGAGCCCCAGCACTCGTTTCAGTGCTGTGGTGGCGATCTCAGGGTATTCTGTCATGACTTTAATCCAGAACACCGACAGAGTTGTTGTCTCGAACATACTTTTAAGGCCGCCGTCATTTGCGATCTCCAGCAGTTGATCTTCTTCTTGCACAGACCTGCTGGATTCACCTGGTTTGTTGACAAATGGGTTGCGGATCCATTCCTTGGCAGTTCGTGGGTCCTTTGTGGTTGGGAAGTAGCGCTCGAACTCTTTTAAAAGCAAAGACAGGTGATCGTGCACCAGCTGGGAGAATGAAGGCTCAGGCTCAGTCTCACCCAAAATCCCCGCTAATGTTTGAAACATGTCCAAAATGCCTCTGTGGACGCGCCGTCCCCACAAATCCAGTTTGGCTTTAAATGCAGCTACTTTATCTGCCAACTTGAAGACAGTTGTCATTTTCCCCTGAAGTGACAGATTGAGTTCATTGAGCAGGCTGAATATGTCGCACAAGTAAGCCAGTTTTGGCGCTCAAGTGACCGAGATGTAACCGAGAGAATGCGGTCATTTTTCAAAATAAAAGATCATTCAGACTCAGATAATAAATAAAACGGAAATAATTAATGATTTCTTGTGCGGCCTGGTACCAACTGATCCACGGACCGGTACTGGTCCGCAGCCCAGGGGTTGGGGACCACTGCTTTAGGAGACTGGTGTTGGCCCACCCAAAGGACATCGTAGAACTCTTGCTGGACTGCCTGCAGTTTGCCTACCAGGCGAACAGGTCAGTGGATGATGTAGTCAATGTGGTACTGCACACCTCCACTCCCCAAGGACCTATGCACCGATACTCATTGTGGACTTCAGCTCAGCATTTAGCATCATCATCCTGGACATCCATCAAGCATAACAAACTTCCAGAAATATGACATCTTCACCACTTTGCCTGTGGTCCACCCGTTGAAATCCCCATTTTACCACTAAACCAATAAGTGAATGTCTCATGTCAGGCATTTTTCTTGAATAACTTTCAAACTAATAATGTTATCAACTTCAAATGCCAGTAGTAGGTTTTCATGGTCAAGCAGTCATACTATGAGGGTCAAACTCTCATGGAAATATGGCTTTTAACTGAGTTTCCCTTGGCAGAGGTTGCACTCTCTTGAGTGCTGTCTGGTTTTAACATAAGGCTGCAACATAGCAAAATGTGAAAAATGTTTATGGCTCTGATTATTTTCTGAATGCACTGTATATCATAAATCTTAAACCTATACATGTATATACCTATACGTTATTTCTTATTGTGTTCTCATATTTTTATTTCTTTTCAGTCACTGTAAGAAGTCATTGATGCTGTTCAGCAGAGAGATGTCACTATCACATTTCCGAGGTGGGGGTTTATAGCATGTGAGGATTTGGATACCCCACCAGAGACTCTGTGCATCTCTAGTGTTGCTGAAGTGTCCAGATATTTTCCTGCTATATTGGCATTTTGCCTCCCTGATTCCACGGGACAGGTTGGCTCTTGCTGTCGCTAGGCCTGCAGTGTCACTGGCCCTAAAAGCTGCATCCCGAGCCCTCAGGGGTCTGAGAACCTCACCTGTCATCCATGGCTTCTGGTTGGCACGAACACTGATATTTTTGAGGTAAGTGACATAATCAATGCACTTTGTGGTGTATGCTGTGACAGCCTCAGTGTATTCCTCTATGTTTGTGTGATTGTTATGAGTGTCTGCTTGTTTGAAAATGTCCAAGTCTGTAGTGTCAAAACAGTCCTTCAGAGCATAAGAAGCCCCCTCCAGCCACACACATACCTCCTTTTGTGTTGGTCTGATGGCTTTCACTCTGGGTCTGTATGCAGGTTTCAGCATGATGGTGATGTGATCAGAGAGACCCAGGTGGGGGAGGCTTTGTAGGCTCCCTTGCATGCAGTGTACACAAAGTCCAATGTGTTGTCTCCTCTTGTTGGAAAGTCCACATGTTGGTGCAGATTGGGCAGTAAAACCTTTAAATCAACTTGATTGAAGTCCCCAGCTGTGATGGGGAATCAGTCTGGGTGCGTTTTCTGTTGTTTATTGATGGCCTGGTAGAGTTCATCTAGTGCCTCACTCCTATCACTGGTGTTAGCTGTGGGAGGAATGTACACAGCTATCAACAGAATTACTGAGTGCTCCCTACATAAATAGAAAGGTTGACACTTGATGATAATAAACCCCACCATCGGAGAGCAGTGTTTATTAACAATAGCAAGAAGAATCTTGATGCAGCCGGCATGTACGGTGATGTAGGAATCCAGCAGAGAAGCCCCAGGCCTCAAAGTTCCTCTGTAACTCCCTTGTTCAAGTTAAAATGTTTTGACTTATATCCTGTATCCACAAGGCAGTGGCGACTGTATCTTTGGCGCAGATTAGATATTTAACTACGTGCACCAGAACATAAACACAACAAACGTGAACACGCACTATAACACACATTTTAAGGCACACAACTCAAAGACAGAGGGGTCGCTGCGTTCATTAGCTTTCAATGTCCTCTCCTTTAAAACCAGCTCCCAGTCTCAGTTCGGGAGGCAGACACGCTCTGCACCTTTAAGATTAGGGGCCTGTCAGAGGTTTTTTCTATTAAAGGGAGTTTTTCCTTCTCTCTGTCACCAAATGTTTGCTCTTTGGGGATTTGTTGGGTTTTTGTAATAATAATAATAAGGTCTATACCTTACTATGTAACGTGCCCTGAGATGACAATTGTTGTGATTTGGCGCTACAAATAAAACTGAATTGAATTGAACTGAATTGTTGGGGTCTGGTGCCAATCTTCATAATACCAGTCACAATGACCAAAATAAATGCAAATAATGATAAACAATAAAGCAGAGAAAAAGCTCAAAGTTCAATTTAATAACTATAAAACAAGAATACTGCTGTCCTGGTGGACCTTACCCTGCTGTGCTACTCTGGAGCTCCCTGATGGTGACCTGTCTTGTTCTTGCTCCAATGACATTGGCTCAATGAACACACTCTGCCAGTACCCTCCCTGTATTTGTATATTTACAGTATCTGCTTTATAGTTCACTTGTGTTGTTTGGCTTTCTGTGTGGATGGCAAAGTAAGAATTTCATTGTGCAGGGAAATATGTTTCCTTACTGTGCCTATGACAATAAACACTTTGAACCTTGAACTAGTGTATATTCAGCAGTGCCACACAATAAACAATAGGGGGAAAAAAACATCCATACCATCAGTTTTTTAAATTGTTTGAAATTTCCTTATTGGACCAATAGTACAATTTACATACCATTTGTTGGCATTTATTTCTTTAAGTTTTTTCATCCCTGTCTCTTTATAGATGCGTTTCATGCTGCTATTCAGCCGGCAGGGAAAGCTGCGGCTGCAGAAGTGGTACACAGCCACAGCTGAGCGTGACAAGAAGAAGATGGTCAGAGAGCTGATGCAGATAGTGCTTGCTCGCAAACCAAAGATGTGCAGCTTTCTAGAATGGAGGGACCTCAAGATAGTCTATAAAAGGTACAAATGTTAACTCATAAACTGTCAAATGTTGTGTACTTCATCATGATAAGACTTCTGGAAGATACTTCCAGCTGCCTAAGTGTTAGTGGGTTTTTGTTTGTTTTTGTGTGTGTTTTTTTTTTTAATGAGGTACTTTATTTAATAGTTTTAACACCATTTTAACTTTTCCTCTATGCTGAGGCTGAATATAAATTCAAAAGGTACATTTGTAACAGGGTGTGTTCAGTGGATGGCTGGAGGAATCACTGGTCTCTGGTTAGCAATGGTGGGGTATGAGTTATTTGTCTAAATCGGGGTGCCCACACCTTTTCGCCTTGCGAGCTACTTTTCAATTTACCAAGTCAAAGTGATTGACCTACGTGCACGCGCACACACACACACACACACACACACACACACACACACACACACATTATTTTATCCAGTCATGAATCTACACAGTCTAGATCCAGGAATGCATTTTTAAACCCTCTCTGCTGAGTTTCTGATTCATAACCTAAAGCTGTGGGCTGCTGGGAGGACACGGTGTCCACATTGTCTGACCACAAACAGGCTGCGGTTTCTTACTTGATTCGGCTCCCCCACTCATTTTATACCCTTTAGTAGAAATTAATTTGAAGGCTGACAAGTTAGTTCGCTCACTGGAGTTTTGAAGTAGCTCGTGCTGTTGACTGTGCATGTTTGGTGACTCGTGTGTCAGAAAAGACGAGCTCTCAGACTGGCTGCCCTGCATGTCAATCAAGTAGCAAATGCCATAGGGAGGGTGGGTGATAGGCTATATATTAATGATTGTCACTTTCTGCTTTTCTTGTTAGGGGTCGCCATAGCGAATCGTCACAGTGACCATTCGCATGTTAACATTTGGCATGTGTTTTACGCCGGATACATCTAATTTTTGAAAGGCACGCGATCTACCAACACTACCTTTGCAATCGACATATTGGGCACCCCTGGTTTAAATCCACATTACATTGAGATCTAGACTTTATGGTTTAACTTATACATTTGGAGAGAGGTTTAGCTATAAGTTCTGATAATTATGAGCTTCAGTTCAGGAAACACTATGGTTTGAAGAGAGGCATCAGATGTTAGCCATGAAGACATTTAGCTGTTAGCAGGAGTATAGCCATTAGCTCTGAAGATTCCACATAGTAGATTGGGGAAGTCGTCTTTGTTCCGAAGCCTTTGGGCTCCAGTAGAGGTCTGTAGGGATCTGAAGTTCCAGAACACCATTTAGAAGATGTTACTCATTTTCAGAGTGCAGCTGCTTCTCTTTCTTGTTATAATGAGCTGGCTTCGTAGTCTGCAGTTGTGGTTCTCTGCTTGGATAATGCCTCCACCTGGGTCCATTCTTTACACAGGGTGTTTAGAGATGTCTCGATGAACAAACGTATTTAATTTAAAGAGCCCATGGCATTGTTTTGCTTGTTTTTTTTACTTATCTACAATGTTACAATGGTGAATTATCACCTTAGATGTGGCCTAAAGTAAAAAAAAAAATTAGGTATATGTATGTTCTAGTATGCCTATGCAGAAGCAGGTTTATACAGTTTATACAGGTCTCGCAAACTCTTGCTTGTGAGACGTTTTTCTAATTAAATAAAATATTACTTGATTAAGGATTTCCTTGAATGGTCATAATCTCCATGCAGTTGCGCGTTCATGTGAGCTTGCCTGGCATTCACTGGTGCCTTTGTAAAAGCGGAATTTTTTGACTGCACCCAGTTTTGTGGATATGTTTTACTTCCTGCTGCATTGTGACCAGAAGATGTGGGGGAAAAATACCGGGCCTGAGGTTACTGCATGTCCAGGAATGTTCATGTACAGGGACTTGTTGCTTTACCTGACTGGGTCTAACCTACAAACAGCCAGCTTTTGAAGCCCCCCCCCTCATCAATGCTGGATTCCCCCAGAGCACAGTACTTGTTTGTTGTGACTGCTTGAGGCCAGTGTGTCTGCTGCATGTGATGTGTTGCTGGTTAACGGGCAGATTAACGATCCATGATGATGATGTTGGTGCTATGCTACATTTTGGAATTAATTACAATACTTTGGGGATGTATGTGGTCATGTGGGGGACAACTCGGCGACCACCAGTTGGATTTATTGATCTTGGAGCTACCGTATTTTCCGCACTATAAGGCGCACCTAAGAGCCTTAAATTTTCTCAAAAATCGGCCGTGCGCCTGATAATCCGGTGTGCCTTATGTGTGCACTGAGTTCCAAAATCTGTAAAAATGTTGTTGTGCGACTTTGGTAAGCACTCCGCTTGATTGACTGTCGGACCATTTCCCACTGACACAGGGACGTAATACGTACAGTCTTATGCAAAAGTTTAGGCACCCCTTGATAAATAACAGATTTTAGTGATTTTTTATTTGAACAGATGTTAACACAGTTTCTCTTGGAAATGGAAAAAATGCACAATATTTTCAGCAAACAGTGATGCATAGTTACTTCTTATGCCATAAATTGAACAAAAATAAAAAATAAAAACATTATTATGGCATGGTGCAAAAGTTTGGGCACCCTAAGAGTTCCAGAGTCTCAAAGTCTCTCACAAGGTATCAGACCTTAATCAGCTCGTTAGATCTGATGCACAGCAACAGCTGTCATTGGTAAATGCCAATTTCAAAGCTGTACAAATACTTTGACTCTTCAAACCTTGTGCACACACTTGTGGACACCCAGCAACCATGGGTTCCTCTAAGCAGCTGTGTAAGACCCTGAAAATGAAAGTTATTGACGCCCACAATGCAGGAGAAGGCTACAAGAAGATAGCAAAGCGTTGTCAGCTTGCAGTTTCCACAGTAAGAAATGTAATTAAGAGATGGCAGATCAGGGGAACTGTGGAGGTCAAGATGAGATCTGGAAGACCAAGAAAACTCTCGGACAGAACTGCTCGTATGCTGGTCATAGGGTGCCCAAACTTTTGCACCATGCCATAATAATGTTTTTATTTTTTATTTTTGTTCAATTTATGGCATAAGAAGTAACTATGCATCACTGTTTGCTGAAAATATTGTGCATTTTTTCCATTTCCAAGAGAAACTGTGTTAACATCTGTTCAAATAAAAAATCACCAAAATCTGTTATTTATCAAGGGGTGCCTAAACTTTTGCATAAGACTGTACACTACGTAGGCTGGCAGCGATAAACCAGTCTAAACCGGTCTAAGGACCCCCGAAAATGGCACCAGTGAAGAGACATGCTTACGAGGCACAATTCAAACTACAGGCTATCAGTTACGCGGTTGTAAATGGGAATAGAGCAGCTGCGAAAGAATTCAAAATCAATGAATCTATGGTTCGGAAGTGGATTTGTGGGAGAAGATTGATTAAAAAATAATGTGAGTGTATTGTTAAATAGTAGAATAAAGTTCAACTAAACTCACTGTTTTGCTTCCGTTACGTTTTAGCATGCGCCTTATAATACGGTGCGCCTTATGTATGGGTTAAGTACAGAAATGGACCCCGTAATTAAGACTGCGCCTTATAATCCGGTGCGCCTTATGGTGCAGAAAATACGGTACTTGAAAGGGAGTGATGTTTCCACTTCTTGGTGGGACTTAACAGTAAGTTAAAAAAAAAAAAATAAATGTTGCGTGTCTGTTAATGCATTGTTTCTGTAATGTTAGGGAGAATTGTTGTAAGGCTGGAGAAGTTACTGTGTCTGCATTATGCCAGTTAAAATATGGGGTGTAGCTGCACTGGTCTAGTTCTAGTTCAAGGATCATTACGCTTCGTACAGATGTCTTTAGAATGTTTTATTTTTCTCTCAGCTCCTCGGACACCGTGAAAGCTACAAAGTAACAAGAATCTTAAATATATACAAATATAGGCACATGAACAACATGTACATCTCACCGTTTGCGCCTCTAAACCATGTGCAGATAACGTTTGGGCTGTATGTCTCTTCTCTGTCCATGTTGTCTCTGTCCCATAATGCCACATTTGGTGCTCTTCACTCAACTCCAGTCACATGGTTCACACACTGCCCTTCAAAATAAACCTTTTTACCAACAAAAGTAATACTCTCACCATTAACAACGAACATAAACCCACATCTCAAATGAAACCTGTCATTTGGACAGTTACATGGGGTTTCTCAATTACCCGCTGTGTGTGTGTGTGTGTGTGTGTGTGTGTAACAAATCTTGTTTTTTATCGGTACATATACCGTTGTTTACCTATCTATGGAGGAGAAATTCAAATTAATTAATGCCCTTGCAGTTCATTGTGCTGTCCACTGTGAGATAACGAAATTCATGAATTATCTTCTCGTTTTTAGGAAGAGCCTCTCTGGTTTTATTGTTCTGAAATAATTACAGACTATTTGGAGTTATGAGGGCTGCCAAGCTAATCTAGAGGTACCCAAGATTAAACATTATATGGCTGGAAATGAGCATGCCATGGCCTCTTTAAACATAGGGAAAGGCTGTTGTTTCATGCCAACATAAAAGGAAGTTTAATCCTAATAGTTCTGTTAGAATTTTTTTTTAAATCCAATAAATAGGGTTTTTTTTAACTTTGGAGAAGCTAGTGTTTCTCCCCATCACAGTTTAATTTTAAGGATGTTCAGACAATTAGTTCTGGTATATGGCAATGTAAAAACAAATAATTTAAATTACGGTTAAAAATGAATTCCTGTATTTAACTTAGAAGGCCTCCACTTTTAACTAAACGGCCTTTTATAACCCAACATCTTTTTTCTCTTCAGAAACAGCGCAATAAAAGGCATGCAGAGTTTTAAACAAAAGACTTACCGTTACATTCCCATGATTAACATTAAATCCAATATACAGCAAAGATAAGCCATCCCTGGTAGGCTAGTGGTTAAGGTGCAGCGCCCTCACCGCTGCGGCCCAGGTTCTAGTCAGGGTTGCGTCAGGAAGGGCATCCGGTGTAAAAACGTGGCAAATGTCGAGTCGTCAGTGTGACAATTCGCTGTGGCGACCCCTAAAAACGGGAAAAGCTGAAAGTGACTTTTTTTCTATA